GTCGTCCTTGGTCAGTCCGATTCCGACTATGTTTTGGGGCGTTTCAAAGCAGAGAACGACCTTTCAACGGACGCTGTTGTATCTGTTATAGTGAGCACCACAATCTGGAGAAACTTTGTCGCCTCGGGAACCGTCTGCATCAGATCATTCTGGGACAAAAAGCTGAGGAGCTGTCCGGGTGATTTGCATTCGTTCCTCACCATTTGTGAACTATACAATCCGATAAGGTCAGCCTTTAGCCTAACACAGTCAAAGTACCTTGCATATTTTGATAGGCTCTGCAGTTTGGTGGCATCGAAATGTTGTGACATTTCATGAAATTTCGTGCAATTGACCAAACCAAGGAAAGTTAGCTCACCGAAATGATCAAACCTAGCTTTCATTTGAACACTGATATTGTCCAGAATGTTATAAAATATTATTTTCCTCTCATATCTGATCGGCTGTTTACTTCGGGCATTTTCCATCAGGCCAAGTGTGACGCATTTCTGCTCGAATCGATCGTAGAAACTATCAAACTCTTGTCTCTGGCGTTCCACAACTCCCATTGTGTCGCAGATTCTCCCACAGCAGATTCCGATGTCCATTACTTTATTCTGCAGCACGCGAAAGAGTCCATCGGTTTCATTGAAAATGCCCTCATATGTCATTCTGAAGAAGCAAGTTGATGCTTTTGGCAGCCAGATATCATATCCGGCGGCCATCACCAGGGTGTCATTGTCCCAACCTTCGGGATTTCCGCTCATTATTCGGATCACAGCACGCAGATCAGATTGGTACACGCTGATCGTCTGCACGAGTCTAGAATTTGAGCTCCATCTTGTGGGCGCTGCTCTTGGTAAACGTCGCTTCACAACATCGTCCAGTAGGGGGGTGCGCTTGGTCGACTTATTGAAAAACGTCGCAAGTCCCTCAAATGTTAAAAAAAAAACTTTTACACTCAGGCATAAACTTTGCTGAATGCGAGAGCACCAGGTTCAATTTGCGTGCATAACAATGGGTAAACGTGGCTTCAGGTACCTTTGCTTTAATCTTGGCCTGCACCCGATTAAGATCTGATGCCATCACAGAGGCTCTGTCGTAATTCTGAGCTACCAGCTTTTCAACGCATTTGTATTTCCTCAACAATCCCAAAACATAATCAGCAATAGCCGGTGCTATCTGTCATCACTGAAATCATTAAATACCAAGAACGCCTTCCTCACCTCACAAGTCACCTCCCTTCTAGCCACATAACGCAACGTTACAGAGACCTGGGCTTTGTTTGTGACATCCGTTGTCTCGTCCACTTCGACTGCAACACATGGGGCTGCATTAATCTCCTCTTTGATATCATTTCTAATTACATCACCGATTAAATCATCGTACAGATACATTGAAATAAACGCTGATCAAAATACAGTTGACTCAATGGCCTTTCATTGGTAATTGTATCTATATAAACACATTTGGGCAGATAACAAATGTAGTACAGGCGTGTCTCGCTTAACGAGTGAGATAGGTTCCACGTTAATTGCTCGGTAAGCGAACCACCAGTGAGTGACCCATCACGGTCCTCCAGGTGGCCCGCGGGCTGTGATATAAGTGCAGGTTGATCCGTTATTAATGATAGCCTTTTGTTTTGGGCGTTAATTTGTGTTTGACTGGCATTTAATTAAAGAAAAGTTTGGTAAACTACCCTGATTTAACGACCCTAACAATCTAACCATTAAAAAAAGGCATTTTTAATCTGTCCATCTGTCTGTCCGTCTCTCTGTCTGTCTGTCCGTCCGTCTGTCTGCGCACGCGTGCTTGCGAGGGATTATATCTCAAACCGTGGGGTGTGTGTCGAAAAAAAATTGCCAGGCAGCACGCACTAAGCCCTGAGGTGGGCAAGCGCTGTTTCTTTTTCAAGTCCGTCACCTTTAAATTAATTATAATAGCGTTTTTGTGCGATGTCCCTTTATTTAATTATTTCATCGTGCCCCTCAGGCTGCCCGGGGGTTGCCCCTGGCAACGAACGCGCGGCATCGTTGGAGGGTGGGGGGATTTCTCCTTCGTGTTCAGAATGCAAAAAAAATACACGCGAGGCTGAGGTAAATTCATCAAAGTGTCATGTCCTCTTCTCTCCCCCCTCACCCCAATGTGTGCACTTACTGCTATAGGGTCGGTATATACTCATTTTATAGCGATTCCCTCGTTTTATTGTAGCGCGGGGGGGGGGTAGTGGGGGGCGTAGCGGCCCAGTCCACAGCCTCAGCCGGGCTGGGCAATCAAGGCGAGGCCGGGTCTCTGCACGGGACTAGGCCTCACCACGGCAATCTGTCAGGTTAGTAGTTTGTGCTATAAAGTCGATATATACTGCTATAGAGTCAGCATGTACTACTGTAATCATAGCAGACACCGCCACAGTATGCACTGCTGTAATCATAGCAGACACCACCACAGTATGCACTGCTGTAATCATAGCAGACACCACCACAGTATGCACTGCTGTAATCATAGCAGGTACCACCATAGTCGGTATGCACTGCTGTAATCATAGCAGGAACCACAGTCGGTATGCACTGCTGTAGTGAAAGCAGGTACCACCACAGTCAGTATCCACTGCTGTAGCAATATCAGGATACCATCCTAGTCGGTATGCATTGCTGTAGTCATAGCAGGTACCACCACAGGCAGTATGCACTGCTGGAATCATAGCAGCTACCACCACAGTCAGTATGCACTGCTGTAATCATAGCAGATACCACCACAGTCGGTATGTACTGGTTGAGTGATAGTAGATACTGCTATCGAGTTGGTAGGTACTGCTACTGTATATAGAGTTATGAAATACTAAAACAGTTAGTATATACCACTATGGTCAGTAAATACTGCTAAAGTCAGTAAATACTACTATAAAGTGAGTAGCTACTACTGGCTCAGCAGATACTATTGTACAATCAGTATATACAACTACAGAGTCAATAGGCACTACTTATTCTAGATTTGAAGCTTTCCTGACTGCAAGGATCCATACTCTTTGCTTCTATTCGGTAAAGTCACGAGGCAATTCAGATCTAAAAACACAGACACAATTTCAACCGATAAGATGGTTTCAAATTAAGCAACCATTGGAAAGATGTTCTAAATCGAACCAAACATTAAACTAATTTTCAATGGTACAATATATTTTTTCAAGTAGTGGTACCCGAAACTTTCACAGCTTCTTAAAATTCCCTTTTCACACCACCAGCATGTGGACTCTACCTTGCGCCCTCGCCAGCCTGCACATGTTCACCCCCTCCCCACCTTTCATCATGCTAAGTCCGCCTATTAAATGCATAAAGCGGTCAGTGGCATCGTGATGCAGCTCTGTGGCACAACTGCGTGCTCACCCAAAACGCCGTGTCTCTGGGTGATGGTTGTACCCCGCTTTCATCGTGTGCCTTCCAGGAGGGAGAGTTCACCATTCATGAACCTCCCAGGCCTCCACATATCTGCAACCTGTGACCAATGGGTGTACGACATCTACAGCACTGCCGATGACGGAGGTTTGGAGTCCCCAAGGCACGAGTTATTTCTGGAAGGTGAAATTCTTGGGCGTTCGACGTCTACAGTACCGCCGAGTACAGAGACTATGAGCTCTCACAGGCATTCACGCTGCTGCAACTCGTGACAGACGTGTCATCACTGCATCAGAGCCCAGGGGTCTGAGGCTGCACGCTGCTCCTACATCAGAGCTCAGCAGTCTGAGACCGTAACCTGCTCTGGCACGATGCCCCGGAGGAGTTTCCAGAGTCGAGACCCCCAATATGCGGTGGGGGGGACTTTTCTGGGGAGACGCGAGTAGGTTGATTGTTTAGTTGTGTTTTGTTACATTTTCATTCGTAAGAGTTCGGTGATTCTTCATGTCGATCGGGCTGCGCTGAGCGGTGGCTGTGCGCTGGCAGCTCGGGTGGGCTGGACTGCTTCACGAGCGGTTGAAAAGAGGTTCTGTTGGACGCTGATGGACCCAACACTATGACAGGGGGCTGGGTGATCGGTGGGCCAAAAGAAGTTCGAGAAATATACTGCTCTAGACATCCTCGTGAAGGCCATTCCACCAGCAATGGCGTGGGCAAGGAACTGCATGGTCCAATCTTTGACTAACATCCGCGCACTGCGCTGCTTTCCACACAGGAGACAACTTGGCAGGCATTCCTTCGAACAGATGACCAAGGTGGGTACGTTCAACTGCGTGTTTCCTCTTCGCCGGTTGCACCATAAATTACTCAGCGTATCTTTACTGTTTCGACACACAAGTCGACGCACACTGAAGATGCAAGCCGACCGACCGAGAGTGCTGCCTTCTCACGCGGTAAGCGTTTGCAGCACAGGTGAATGATTTTATTGCTTTTGAAGAGAAGCACTTCAAGACTATTAAGCATTGACTTGTCAGAGTCTCCGATGCAATCGCACCTCGCAATCGCTTCCTTTGCCTCGACGAACCAAGCTGTTTCACAGCCGACAGCCTCCTCGGTGCGTTCTTAAAGCAGCCTCCAATTTCCTTATTGTTCCTAATGGTAGGCTGTCTTAGATCCAGTTTTTACGCGTAACAATGTACAAGACCATCGTGTGACGTAATATTTGTCGCTTTGTTTGATTATATATGTTATATCTCCGACAATATGTTTAATAACCTCACGTTATGAATCCTCAATCGTCGGCAACATTGAATACAGTATTTGATATATCTTGATTTGAAGCTTTCGTGACTGCAGGAATCCATACCCTTTTGGTTCTTTCGGTAAAGTCACGTAGGTATAAAATAAAATACCTACGTGACTTTACCGAAAGAACCAAAGAGTATTTGATATATCCTCAATTATTCACAACATTAAACCGTGCAGTGTACGGGTACTTAATACGTTCAATTATCAAACATGTACATATGCCACAAGAAGTTCAATTTTAAGTGATTATTCGTACAAGATAGTTGAAGGAATTTTTATCAAAAAGGAACTTGGGAACATAGACAAGTGGAGGGAAGTAAACTTTGGAGCTCTGCGATGGAAGAAGCAGAGAGATGCTGTGGCCTGCAGCATGGTGGTTGAACAAAGTGCAGATGAGTTGTCACAGTGGTAGACGAAGTCCTCAACACATGAGTTGAAATGAGTGATATATACCGGAACATTTGCTGAAGTTGCTAATGCGACCATAAGCACATTGATAACCCATCACCGCATTGTTTGTTCAGCTGTGTAACTGGTAGAGAAGCCCAACGATCGTGACGATGAACCCGAGCGCAGCTCCCAATGGGTCCAGGTCCTGCTCAATGGACGACTCCTACAAGTACCCCATCTACTCGGCCATCTACGGCATCGTCTGCATCATAGGGATGATGGGCAACGCCATCGCGCTCTACGTCTTCCTGTGCCTCACGCGGACCAAGAGTGCCAGCACCATCTACCTCATCAACCTGGCCCTCGCCGACATGTTCTTCGTGCTGACGCTGCCGCTGCGCGTCGTCTACTACGTGCGCGAAGGCGACTGGCCGTTCGGGGACGCGATGTGCCGCATCAGCTCGTTCGCCTTCTACGCCAACCTGTACAGCAGCATCTTCTTCCTCACCGGCCTCAGCGTGACGCGTTACCTGGCCGTGGTTCACCCCGTGCGCTCGCTCAAGGCTGTCACGGCGAGGCATGCGGTCATCGCCTGCGTGTCCATCTGGGTCTTCGTGACCCTGATCACCTCCCCGTTCCTTCTCAGCGGCCAGCACGTCTTATCAAGCGGGAGGATCCTGTGCTTCGAGAGCTCGGGCAGCAGCCTGAAAATGGTTTTTGCCATGAACTACGTCGCCCTGGTGGTCGGAGTCCTCATCCCGTTCGCGATCATCGTCGTCTGCTACGCGGCCATCGCCCGGATGCTGATGAAGACCCCGGAAGGCCAGCGCAGGGACTCGAACGTGCGGAAGCGCGCGGTGCGCATGATCGTGCTGGTGCTCACGGTGTTCGTGGTCTGCTTCATCCCGTACCACGTGCAGCGCACGCTGCTGCTCCACCAGCTCATCAACCGCCACAGCAGCTGCGATACGAAGCTCTACCTGCAGAAGTCGGTGGTGGCCACCGTCTGCTTCGCCGCCTTCAACAGCTGCCTCGACCCGCTCATCTACTTCTTCGTCGGCGAGAAGTTCCGCGAGCGGTTCATGAGCGCCGTGCGGAGGTACGCAACGAGATTTGGACTTGCTAGGGTGTTTTTCGAGGTGGCGCCTTGCACAGCTCTCTCCAATGTGTTTTTTTTCCTTCCGAATAATACCGCGATGTTTTCATTGCACGTGCAGAGAGCCGCTCCAGGAACTGAGTATCCAGTTTCAGTTGGACTGATGGAGTGGCCCAAAAAGTGGACGGGGGCTAGAATGCTGCTTTGGACGTGACGTTAAAAGTGGCGCAATGGGGGTCATAGCATGACATTTGGAACCTCCTCTCCCCCTTGAGACCATAACATTGGAATTTTGTTTAAATTTACCAGATAACGTTTATTTTATAACTAGAAATCTACACGTCATTTGGCCATGACCATCAGTCTCTTCCTTTGTACCCTCTTCTACCTCTCCCTCGCTCTTCTCCGTCCACTCTATTTCACCCACTTAAACTATGAACTAAAACTTAATTTTATTTTACCAGGTAAGGGCCACTGAGCTATATAGCTCGTTTTTCACAAGCGACCTGCCCACAAATGATAGCTCAACGAAGTGGATTATAGCAGCAAAAAATATTCTTCAACGCATATTGATTCTAAATGTGGAGGAAACAACCAGAGAACACGGAGAAAAAACCACACAACCACAGGGAGAGCACGCAAACTCCAAATATATACGGTCAGGGTCGGGATCAAATTCAAAACCTCTGCATACCAGGCGAGGTAGTTAACATCTCGCCACCGCAGGTCTTCCCTCCCCCTATCTCCCTGTTTCTCTCACCTCTCACCCTTGCTCTCCTTATTCCCACCTCTCCCTTTCCTCCCACTGCTTGTCGCTTTCCCTCGCTCTCCCCTTCCAATTTTTATCTTTCTTTCCTCTCCGATTCATGCCCTTTCACTCTCTCCCCACCGGTACCCTCTTTGTCCCAGATGTGTGTGGTGACTTCAACCACCGCACGCAAGGAATCTGGCTACGCAGGCAGGAATCCAGCCTTCAAATAAATAAAAAATATCGTATAATTAATGTAGGGCCCTATTTTAAAAAGTTTGGCATTTAGAGACCAACCCTTCCTTTCTCCCCCTCCCTGGGAAGTTTGGAGATCTATCTCTGAGGAATAGTCACCACGTTTTATCTGACATCATGCGGCAGATTCCTGCAAAAAATACACACAAATTGGACACATTGCGGAGGTGGTGTGGCCAATACCATGCCCAACCACCTTTATCTTCATGATTAGACCTCCTTTGCCAGCACCAAAATGTTATAATAGGGTTATTCACCTTTTTTCTGGCAACAAAACTGAAATCTTTTTACGAGGATTCATGTCTTCCCTTGCTTGTATTGCTGATGGATGGATGGAGTGTCCCTCCCATGTTCACGCATGAAAAATGTTTCCCTCCCACAGTCGTTCACGAATCTCCTCCGCCACAAGCTCCGTCCGCCCCAAAGATGCCCTCGCCAGAAGCACGACCAGGGACGCCGGCAAGCTTCACATGCAGCCACTCGAGGGCGATCCTCTACAGAAGGAGGAGGAGCCACAAGAGGAGACCGACTAGTGATAGGCGTCTGTGTGAGACTCCGCACCAGACGAGTGTTCAGCGATGGACGCCCAACGCTGGCTGGGGAAACAATGATGATTGTCTTTTACCATATCGATACCACGCGTGTGATGATTTTTGTACCGTACAGCCATGATTATTCCACTGCTGGATGAAGGCGCTTCCTAAGCCACTGCTAACTCTCGGCATCCTGCGATGTAATGATCCACATAGCACCCGCACAAAAGCTGCTTTCATCGCTCCATCTCCTCACTCAACGATTTGTGTCTTAATGCTGAACCCCTATCTTTTTATATTTAACTTTATACATATTGGTGGGCGTTTTGTATTGCTGTACAAATGTATACTGTTGTACATTTGCTTGTGTCCATGTGGACAGTCTTGTTATTTGACATCTGGATGATTTCCTGTGTGCGTCGTTCGGGTCGTGCGGATCGTTTGACCATACTTCCCCACGCTGGTCAGGGCAAGTTGGTGACAGTGGTGATCATAGACGTGGGACTTGGGATTGGTAAATTGTGTGTGCCCAGGACCAGTTCTGATATCACTCACCACGAATGTTAGTCGTGGCCTATCTGATCAATTTGCTGCTTTTCGATTTGGTTTCATCCCTGCCCATCTCTGCTCATGCATCGTTCCATCAATTTCAGTAACATGAAGGACATTTCACCAACATCTTCATCTGATACATTCTTAGTGTACGTTACTGAAACTATAAAGTCCCCTTACCAAGACAACTCGCCTGGACTCCATGGTATGTACTGTACAGTGTATGTATTTTGCAAGAATAAAAACCTAGCTTTTTAATCATTTGTATAACTGCGCATTTTTTTACGTTTCAAATAAGTTTCTGTGAGGATTAAAAATAAAATTTAACCTGAAACATTTGTTGTACTGCTTTTGTGTGTCTATAATAATCAATATTTTTACTTGCCAATATGGCCCTCAATAGAGCAGACATCAGTGATGTGCGGTGAGTTCAATGGCTGGGGAGGCACTGGCTAGTATCAGAGCCAGATTTACGCACATATGAACCCGATAGAGGTAGCTTAAAATCACCATTAAATTGGCAGGCTGCACAATGACTATTGGTTAGGGGGCCATGTTTCGTATTTCATATCGGCCTTCGTTACAACACGCGGATACAGGTAAGTTACGTAATCGATTCACGTTTTATAGGCAAATGCAGTTCCACTATTCATAGTCATTCAACACAAATGAAAATATATATGGCATGGTCTTACCTTGACTTGTAAATGAAGTCCAATCGCCTATCCTTCTAGGACAAAGATGTCATCCCTGTCTAAATAGAGATGATTTCCAGGGATGAAAGTCGTCCTTGGTCAGTCCGATTCCGACTATGTTTTGGGGCGTTTCAAAGCAGAGAACGACCTTTCAACAGACGCTGTTGTAGCTGGTATAGTGAGCACCACAATCTGGAGTAACTTTGTCGCCTCGGGAACCGTCTGCATCAGATCATTCTGGGACAAAAAGCTGAGGAGCTGTCCGGGTGATTTGCATTCGTTCCTCACCATTTGTGAACTATACAATCCGATAAGGTCAGCCTTTAGTCTAACACAGTCAAAGTACCTTGCATATTTTGATAGGCTCTGCAGTTTGGTGGCATCGAAATGTTGTGACATTTCATTAAATTTCGTGCAATTGACCAAACCAAGGAAAGTTAGCCAACCGAAATTATCAAACCTAGCTTTCATTTGAACACTGATATTGTCCAGAATGTTATAAAATATTATTTTCCTCTCATATCTGATCGGCTGTTTACTTCGGGCATTTTCCATCAGGCCAAGTGTGACGCATTTCTGCTCGAATCGATCGTAGAAACTATCAAACTCTTGTCTCTGGCGTTCCACAACTCCCATTGTGTCGAGGATTCGCCCACAGCAGATTCCGATGTCCATTACTTTATTCTGCAGCACGCGAAATAGTGCATTGGTTTCATTGAAAATGCCCTCATATGTTATTCTGAAGAAGCAAGTTGATGCTTTTGACAGCCAGAGATCATATCCGGCGGCCATCATCAGGGTGTCATTGTCCCAACCATCGGGATTTCCGCTCATTATTCGGAACACAGCACGCAGATCAGATTGGTACACGCTGATCGTCTGCACGAGTCTAGAATTTGAGCTCCATCTTGTGGCCGCTGCTCTTGGTAAACGTCGCTTCACAACATCGTCCAGTAGGTGGGTGCGCTTAGTCGACTTATTGTTTTAAAAAACGTTTTACACTCAGGCATACATTTTGCTGAATGCGAGAGCACCAGGTTCAATTTGCGTGCATAACAATAGGTAAACGTGGCTTTAGGTTCCTTTTCTTTAATATTGGTCTGCACCCCATTAAGATCTGATGCCATCACAGAGGCTCCGTCGTAAGTCTGAGCTACCAGCATTTCAACGCATTTGTATTTCCTCAACAATCCCAAAACATAATCAGCAATAGCCGGTGCTATCTGTCATCACTGACATCATTAAATACCAAGAACGCCTCCGTCACCTCACAAGTCACCTCCCTTCTAGCCACATAACGCAACGTTACAGAGACCTGGGCTTTGTTTGTGACATCCGTTGTCTCGTCTACTTCGGCTGCAACAAATGGGGCTGCATTAATCTCCTCTTTGATATCATTTCTAATTACATCACCGATTAAATCATCGTACAGATACATTGAAATTAACGCTGATCAAAATACAGTTGACTCAATGGCCTTTCATTGGTAATTGTATCTATATAAACACATTTGGGCAGATAACAAATGTAGTACAGGCGTGTCTCGCTTAACGAGTGAGATAGGTTCCACGTTAATTGCTCGGTAAGCGAACCACCAGTGGGTGACCCATCACGGTCCTCCAGGTGGCCCGCGGGCTGTGATATAAGTGCAGGTTGATCCGCAATTAATGATAGCCTTTTGTTTTGGGCGTTAATTTGTGTTTGACTGGCATTTAATTAAAGAAAAGTTTGGTAAACTACCCTGATTTAACGACCCTAACAATCTAACCATTAAAAAAAGGCATTTTTTTAATCTGTCTGTCCGTCTGTCTGTCCGTCTGTCTGTCTGTCTGTCCGTCCGTCTGTCTGCGCAGTCGTGCTTGCGAGGGATTATATCTCAAACCGTGGGGTGTGTGTCGAAAAAAAATTGCCAGGCAGCACGCACTAAGCCCTGAGGTGGGCAAGCGCTCTTTCTTTTTCAAGTCCATCACCTTTAAATTAATAATAATCGCGTATTTGTGCGATTTTCCTTTATTAAATTATTTCCTCGTGCCCCTCAGGCTGCCCGGGGGTTGCCCCTGGCAACGCACGCGCGTCATCGTTGGAGGGTGGGGGGATTTCTCCTTCGTGTTCAGAATGCAAAAAAAAATACACGCGACGCTGAGGTAAATTCATCAAATTGTCATGTCCTCTTCTCTCCCCCCTCACCCCAATGTGTGCACTTACTGCTATAGGGTCGGTATATACTCATTTTATAGCGATTCCCTCGTTTTATTGTAGCGCGGGGGGGGGGGGGGTAGTGGGGGGGGTAGCGGGCCAGTCCACAGCCTCAGCCGGCTGGGCAATCAAGGCGAGGCCGGGTCTCTGCACGGGACTAGGCCTCACCACGGCAATCTGTCAGGTTAGTAGTTTGTGCTATAGAGTCGATATATACTGCTATAGAGTCAGCATGTACTACTGTAATCATAGCAGGCACCGCCACAGTATGCACTGCTGTAATCATAGCAGACACCACCACAGTATGCACTGCTGTAATCATAGCAGACACCACCACAGTATGCACTGCTGTAATCATAGCAGGTACCACCATAGTCGGTATGCACTGCTGTAATCATAGTAGGCACCACAGTCGGTATGCACTGCTGTAGTGAAAGCAGGTACCACCACAGTCAGTATCCACTGCTGTAGCAATATCAGGATACCATCCTAGTCGGTATGCATTGCTGTAGTCATAGCAGGTACCACCACAGGCAGTATGCACTGCTGGAATCATAGCAGCTACCACCACAGTCAGTATGCACTGCTGTAATCATAGCAGATACCACCACAGTTGGTATGTACTGGTTGAGTGATAGTAGATACTGCTATCGAGTTGGTAGGTACTGCTACTGTATATAGAGTTATGAAATACTAAAACAGTCAGTATATACCACTACGGTCAGTAAATACTGCTAAAGTCAGTAAATACTACTATAAAGTGAGTAGCTACTACTGGCTCAGCAGATACTATTGTACAATCAGTAGATACAACTACAGAGTCAATAGGCACTACTTATTCTAGATTTGAAGCTTTCCTGACTGCAAGGATCCATACTCTTTGGTTCTATTCGGTAAAGTCACGAGGCAATTCAGATCTAAAAACACAGACACAATTTCAACCGAGAAGATGGTTTCAAATTAAGCAACCATTGGAAAGATGTTCTAAATCGAACCAAACATTAAACTAATTTTCAATGGTACAGTATATTTTTTCAAGAAGTGGTACCCCAAACTTTCGCAGCTTCTTAAAATTCCCTTTTCACACCACCAGCATGTGGACTCTACCTTGCCCCCTCGCCAGCCTGCACATGTTCACCCCCTCCCCACCTTTCATCATGCTAAGTCCGCCTATTAAATGCATAGGGCGGTCAGTGGCACCGTGATGCGGCCCTGTGGCACAACTGCGTGCTCACCCAAAACGCCGTGTCTCTGGGTGATGGTCGTACCCTGCTTTCATCGTGTGCCTTCCAGGAGGGAGAGTTCACCGTTCATGAACCTCCCAGGCCTCCACATATCTGCAACCTGTGACCAATAGGCGTACGACATCTACAGCCCTGCCGAGGACGGAGGTTTGAAGTCCCCAAGGCACGAATTATTTCTGGAAGGTGAAATTCTTGGGCGTTGGACGTCTACAGTACCGCCAAGGACAGAGACTATGAGTCTCACAGGCATTCACGCTGCTGCAACTCGTGACAGACGCGTTCTCACTCATCAGAGCCCAGGGGTCAGAGGCTGCACGCTGCTCCTACATCAGAGCTCAGGAGTGTGAGACCGTAACCTGCTCTGGCACGAGGCCCCGGAGGAGTTTCCAGAGTCGAGACCCCCAATATGCGGTGGTGGTGACTTTTCTGGGGAGACGCGAGTAGGTTGATTGTTTAGTTGTGTTTTGTTACATTTTCATTCGTAAGAGTCCAGTGATTCTTCATGTCGATCGGGCTGCGCTGAGCGGTGGCTGTGCGCTGGCAGCTCGGGTGGGCTGGACTGCTTCACGAGCGGTTGAAAAGAGGTTCTGTTGGACGCTGATGGACCCAACACTATGACAGGGGGCTGGGTGATCGGTGGGCCAAAAGAAGTTCGAGAAATATACTGCTCTAGACATCCTCGTGAAGGCCATTCCACCAGCAATGGCGTGGGCAAGGAACTGCATGGTCCAATCTTTGACTTACATCTGCGCACTGTGCTGCTTTCCGCGCAGGAGACAACTTGGCAGGCATTCCTTCGAACAGATGACCAAGGTGGGTACGTTCAACTACGTGTTTCCTCTTCGCCGGTTGCACCATAAATTACTCGGCGTATCTTTACTGTTTCGACACACAAGTCGACGCACACTGAAGACGCAAGCCGACCGACAGAGAGTGCTGCCTTCTCACAAGGTAAGCGTTTGCAGCACAGGTGAATGATTGTATTGCTTTTGAAGAGAAGCACTAACACTATTAAGCAGTGACTTGTCAAGGTCTCCGATAAAATCGCACCTCGCAATCGCTTCCTTTTCCTCGACGAACCAAGCTGTTTCACAGCCGACAGCCTCCTCGGTGCGTTCTTAAAGCAGCCTCCTGATTCTTCCTCATGGCGGGCTGTCATTGTTCCCGTTTTTACGCGTTACAATGTACAATACCATTATAATATGCAGCCCTTCATGGCATATTTGCCGCTATGTTTGATTATATATGTTATATCTCCGACTATATTTAAAAACTTTATGTAAGAAATCCTCAATTATCGGCAAAATTGAATACCGTATTTGATATGTCCTGAATTATTGACAACATTAAACTGTGCAGTGTACTGGTAGTGAACATGTTCAATTATCAAACGTGCAAATGCAACAAAAAGTTCAATCTAAAGTGATTATCGGTCGAACATAGTTTAAGAAAAAAGTAAAATTAAAAAAGAATTTGAAAAATCAGAAAGTAGCAGGAATTAAAAGTTGGAGCAGTGCGATGGAAGAAGCAGAGAGGTGAGTATTGTGACCTGCAGCATGGTGGTTGAACACAGTTAAGATTAGTTGTAACAGTCTGTTAGACTCAGTCCTCATCACATGAGTTGGAATGAGTGATATATACCGAAACATTTGCAAAAGTTGCTAATGCGACCATAAGCACATTGATAACCCATCAACGCATTGTTTGTTCAGCTCTGTAACTTGAAGAGAAGCGCAGGCATTGTGACGATGAACTCCAGCGCAGCTCCCAATGGTACCGGTCCCTGCTCAATGGACGACTCCTACAAGTACCCCATCTACTCGGCCATCTACGGCATCGTCTGCATCATCGGGATGATGGGCAACGCCATCGCGCTCTACGTCTTCCTGTGCCTCACGCGGACCAAGAGTGCCAGCACCATCTACCTCATCAACCTGGCCCTCGCCGACATGTTCTTCGTGCTGACGCTGCCGCTGCGCGTCGTCTACTACGTGCGCGACGGCGACTGGCCATTCGGGGACGCGATGTGCCGCATCAGCTCGTTCACCTTCTACGCCAACCTGTACAGCAGCATCTTCTTCCTCACCGGCCTCAGCGTGACACGTTACCTGGCCGTGGTTCACCCCGTGCGCTCGCTCAAGGCCGTCACGGCGCGGCGCGCGGTCATCGCCTGTGTGTCCATCTGGGTCTTCGTGACCCTGGTCACCTCCCCGTTCCTTCTCAGCGGCCAGCACGTCTTATCAAGCGGGAGGATCCTGTGCTTCGAGAGCTCGGGCAGCAGCCTGAAAATGATTTTTGCCATGAACTACCTCGCCCTGCTGGTTGGAGTCCTCATCCCGTTCGCGATCATTGTCGTCTGCTACGCGGCCATCGCCCGGACGCTGATGAAGACCCCGGAAGGCCAGCGCAGGGACTCGAACGTGCGGAAGCGCGCGGTGCGCATGATCGTGCTGGTGCTCACGGTGTTCGTGGTCTGCTTCATCCCGTACCACGTGCAGCGCACGCTGCTGCTCCACCAGCTCATCAACCGCCACAGCAGCTGCGATACGAAGCTCTACCTGCAGAAGTCGGTGGTGGCCACCGTCTGCTTCGCCGCCTTCAACAGCTGCCTCGACCCGCTCATCTACTTCTTCGTCGGCGAGAAATTCCGCGACCGGTTCATGAGCGCCGTGCGGAGGTATGGACGAGATTTGAGCTTGCTAGGTTTTTCGAGGTGGCGCCTTGCACAGCTCTCTCCAATGTGTTTTCAGGGTTTTTTTTCCTTCGGCATAGTGCCCTGATGTTTCACCCCACGTGCCGAGAGCTGCTTCAGGAACCGAGTATCCAGTTTCAGTTTTAGTTGATGGGAGTGGGCCAAAAGTGGACGGGGCCTTGAATGCTGCTGTAAACATGACCTTAAAAGTGGTGGAATAGGGGTCATTTTGGGACAATTGGTGCCCCCCCTACCTGGTGCTTTATTATTATTATTATATACCATAGAACAGCGGTCCAACCTTTTTGGCACCAGAAACTGGTTTCTTAAAAGACAATTTTCTCCAGCGACGTTTGTTTTTTGCTCATTTTGGCTACTAGGGTTAGCTTGTGGGCTTACCAAAATTGTTACTGAGACAAGTTTGCAGTGCGGGAAAGAGGCGCGGATGGAAGTGGTAAATAATAAAACAATGGGCGGGCCACGCGCGGACTCACCGCTCACCTTCTGTTGTGCGGCCCGGTTCCTAACAGGCCACGGACCAGGTCCGCGGCCCGGGAGTTGGGGACCCCTGCCATAGAACACACGTTGAATATTTTATTATTATTAATGTTTGAAAATTTTAAAAAAATGGGACTGCCCCCCTCTTCATAACCGCCTCTAAGGAAAGTTAACCCAACGGTTAGTCAGCTATCATGTAGCGGAACCCTGCAAAAACACACACATCAAGTACCTATTGAGAAGATGGTGTGGCCAAGACAAATCCGCTAACCACCTTTGTATTCCCAGTGTTCATATTTAAACATTGCACTGGGTACTCATGTAAGGCTAGGTAGACCCAGGGAGGGAGTCCCAGGACCTCTTCTGATTTCGCTCGCCACTGATGTTGGCCGTGGCGGTGAATCGAACTCGGGGTGCCAGGTTCATAGTGGTAGGTTGTGTGTGTGTCATCTTGGGTGAAAGGGATGGAAGTGGAGTGTCGGTGGTGGTGGCACCACGGTGGAGAAATGTCAACTGCCTCGCCTAGTATGCAGGAAGTCGTTGAGTTCGATCTCGACCCTGACGCCTGTATACTTGAAGTTTGCGGTGTCTCTTACCCCGTGGTCGCATGGATTTTTTTCTGGGTCCTCCGGTTTTCTCCCTTCACATTTTAGAAACATGCGTTTATGTGTATTTGGCTGCTATACATTGCCACAAGGTAGGCCAACTTCCTAGAGCTTTCATTTGTGACCAGATCGCCTCTGCAAAATAGCTATGTAGCTCAGTGGGCCTTACCTGTTAAGAATAAATTTAGTTTAGTTTAGTTCTGAGCAGGACGTGATCTTCATGTTGGTCCGATTGCGTGTGACTCAGCACCCATGCTCGTATAATGAATGTCCTGTCCCTCTCGTTCTCTGCAATTCCCTTCTTTTATTATTCCCGGAAGGGCAAATTGCACTCGGGCCTAGGCGATTGGCAAATATTTAACTCAGCATTACGCTTCCTTCTGGGAAATGTTGACATAGCAGCAGCAATCGTGCAGAGTTTGTCAACCGAGTTTAATTTATTACATTACCTGGTTTGAGTGCATAACAGATTGTCTGTTGGTTTGTTTTGTTTGTTTACTTCTTCCCCCACCCTCAATGTATTTGAATTGTGCTATCGGCATTACACCACGAGACTAAACATCCATTCTAAGTATCGCAGAGTAGTTCACTCTGCGTGAGAGAATTGCTGCAAAAAGGAAAACATTTAAAAAAAGGTTCATAAAACTGTCGAGGTTTTTTCAACGGTTTTACTTCACTTGATTCCTCTGTTTGCCTGGGTCAAATCTTGTAATCAAAATTTCGTCCACTTCCCGTTGTCTAATCCATTCCACATTTTGCACACGTACTCAGATCCGGTGACAATGCATGTCTGTATCGAAATCGGCATCAATTAATTCGCTACTTTCAAGCAATTTACATTTTGTATGGGTGCCTTATTTATATATATTTGTGTAGTTCAAAAACGTGCGCGGTACCTAAACTGTGGAATCGGCTCGCATAAAACGCAGGCGCCACGTGTCTCAGGCGCCATTGGCGTACTTCTCGACCGTGAGCTAAACGAAGTTGTTGATAAAACCGTTGCTTAAAAAAAACTTTTTTAAACGAGCTTATTTGGGGGTTAGATTGTGTGAATATAAACGTGTCGTTAAACCCGCCACCACCCGACATAGCCACTAAGTAAGGTTTGTCAGGTCAACAAAACGTGACGAAAGAAATATGACAAACCGCCACTAAAAAAAACCCACTGGTATTCTGAAGGGCAATTCTGGAATTCAGAATCCAACGCTGCAGTAGTCACTATGTAGTTACAGGACACTGCAGTAGTCACTGTGTAGTTACAGGACGCTGCAGTAGTCACTGTGTAGTTACAGGACGCTGCAGTAGTCACTGTATAGTTACAGGACACTGCAGTAGTCACTGTGTAGTTACAGGACACTGCAGTAGTCACTGTATAGTTACAGGACACTGCAGTAGTCACTGTATAGTTACAGGACACTGCAGTAGTCACTGTATAGCTACAGGACACTGCAGTAGTCACTGTATAGCTACAGGACGCTGCAGTAGTCACTGTGTAGTTACAGGACACTGCAGTAGTCACTGTATAGCTACAGGACGCTGCAGTAGTCACTGTATAGTTACAGGACGCTGCAGTAGTCACTGTGTAGTTACAGGACACTGCAGTAGTCACTGTATAGTTACAGGACGCTGCAGTAGTCACTGTGTAGTTACAGGACGCTGCAGTAGTCACTGTGTAGTTACAGGACGCTGCAGTAGTCACTGTATAGTTACAGGACGCTGCAGTAGTTACTGTGTAGTTACAGGACGCTGCAGTAGTCACTGTATAGTTACAGGACGCTGCAGTAGTCACTGTGTAGTTACAGGACACTGCAGTAGTCACTGTAGTTACAGGACACTGCAGTAGTCACTGTGTAGTTACAGGACACTGCAGTAGTCACTGTAGTTACAGGACACTGCAGTAGTCACTGTGTAGTTACAGGACACTGCAGTAGTCACTGTAGTTACAGGACGCTGCAGTAGTCACTGTGTAGTTACAGGACACTGCAGTAGTCACTGTGTAGTTACAGGACACTGCAGTAGTCACTGCGTAGTTACAGGACACTGCAGTAGTCACTGCGTAGTTACAGGACACTGCAGTAGTCACTGTGTAGTTACAGGATGCTGCAGTAGTCACTGTGTAGTTATAGGATGCTGCAGTAGTCACTGTGTAGTTAGAGGACACTGCAGTAGTCACTGTGTAGTTACAGGACACTGCAGTAGTCACTGTGTAGTTACAGGACACTGCAGTAGTCACTGTGTAGTTACTGGACACTGCAGTAGTCACTGTGTAGTTACATGACGCTGCAGTAGTCACTGTGTAGTTACAGGACGCTGCAGTAGTCACTGTGTAGTTACAGGACGCTGCAGTAGTCACTGTGTAGTTACAGGACGCTGCAGTAGTCACTGTGTAGTTACAGGACGCTGCAGTAGTCACTGTGTAGTTACAGGACACTGCAGTAGTCACTGCGTAGCTACAGGACGCTGCAGTAGTCACTGTATAGTTACTGGACACTGCAGTAGTCACTGTGTAGTTACATGACGCTGCAGTAGTCACTGTGTAGTTACAGGACACTGCAGTAGTCACTGTGTAGTTACAGGACACTGCAGTAGTCACTGTGTAGTTACTGGACACTGCAGTAGTCACTGTGTAGTTACATGACGCTGCAGTAGTCACTGTGTAGTTACAGGACGCTGCAGTAGTCACTGTGTAGTTACAGGACGCTGCAGTAGTCACTGTGTAGTTACAGGACGCTGCAGTAGTCACTGTAGTTACAGGACACTGCAGTAGTCACTGTGTAGTTACAGGACGCTGCAGTAGTCACTGCGTAGCTACAGGACGCTGCAGTAGTCACTGTGTAGTTACAGGACACTGCAGTAGTCACTGCGTAGCTACAGGACGCTGCAGTAGTCACTGTATAGTTACAGTACACTGCAGTAGTCACTGTGTAGTTACAGGACGCTGCATTAGTCACTGTGTAGTTACAGGACACTGCAGTAGTCACTGTGTAGTTACAGGACGCTGCAGTAGTCACTGTGTAGTTACAGGACACTGCAGTAGTCACTGTGTAGTTACAGGACACTGCAGTAGTCACTGTAGTTACAGGACGCTGCAGTAGTCACTGTGTAGTTACAGGACACTGCAGTAGTCATTGTGTAGTTACAGGACGCTGCAGTAGTCACTGTGTAGTTACAGGACACTGCAGTAGTCACTGCGTAGTTACAGGACACTGCAGTAGTCACTGTATAGTTACAGGACGCTGCATTAGTCACTATGTAGTTACAGGACACTGCAGTAGTCACTGTGTAGTTACAGGACGCTGCAGTAGTCACTGTGTAGTTACAGGACACTGCAGTAGTCACTGTGTAGTTACAGGCAACTGCAGTAGTCACTGTGTAGTTACAGGACGCTGCAGTAGTGACGCCACTCAACTGGGGGCTGCTTGGATAGCTCATCAGATAAATAAATATTCTGATGTTAGCGTGCAGCGTGGAGACGCGGCAGCTATATCAACAAGCCAAATAACAACTCGACACAGAGGGGAAAAAATAACACGGATAATCGGCGAATCTTAGCCCCTTCGTGTTATGCGTTCCAACGAAGGCAGTGTTGTTGACGAATGTGTTGAAGTTATTTGTGTATCGTGCTTCTAAATCACTGCCAACGCAGCATCTCCAACTAATTTGTTCAGCAAAAAGCCTACGCTCACTTTGCACGCCGTTCTCTGCTCGAGCCTCTAGAGTGCGATGTTACTTTTTTGGAGTTCTGCCCCGAAACGCAGGATCAATATGTATCCGCCCACGTTAATACGAGGCCAATGAATCTTATTTTTTTTTATTATTACCAGATTTTGATATGCCCGGCCAGGCGGCTCAGTGGCTCGTAATTGGAATGTCGCAAGTTGAAATCCTGCTTGGAGTCGACTCGGCCCATCATCCCACCGGGGTCGATACATCCAAGTATCGCGTCGTGGGAAAGTCAACATGATTGACCCATCGATAGACTCGCCCCCGCCCCACCACTACCCTAGCAATGTGGAATTCCCACCGCTGGCACAGGACCGTAATATGAGAGATGCGCGCTGCCTCAATGCTTACGTGCGCAGGACCTAACTTTGATATCCTACGATGATGTTGATGATGCCCTCGCCGTGACCTCTCTTGCTTGTGTTGCCGATGGATGAACGGATGGATGGGGGTGTCCCTCGCATGCTCACGCGTGGAGAAATGTCCCCCCTCTGAACCAACCAGGCGCTCGCGAATCAGCTCCGCCACCAGCTCCGTCCGCTCCAAAGAGCCCCTCTCCAGAAGCACGGCCAGGGACGCCGCCAAGCTTCACATGCAGACACTCGAGGGCGATCCTTTGCAGGAGAAGGAGGACCCACAAGAGGAGACTGACGATCGACAGACGTCTGAGTGAGACTCCGCACCCGGCCAGGGTTCAGCGACTGGATACCCAGCGCTGGCTGGGGAAACGATAGATACGAATGATTGCGTTTTACCGCATCGATATCAGGCGTGCGTCGATTGTTGCACCTTTCAGCTTTGATCAATCCGCTGCTGGATGAAGGCGCTCCCCAAGCCATCCTGCTATGTTATAATCTCGGCATCCTATCCACATAACACATGCACAGGAGCTGGTTTCATCGCTCCATCTCCTCGGCGAACCTAGCACATACGAGCATATACGTAACAATTGCCGTCTTAATGCTGAATCCTTGACTGTTTTTCATATTGAACTCAATAAATATGGGTCGCTGTTTTGTATTGCTTGTACGAAGGTTTACTGTTGTACACATGCATGTGTGCAGTCTGTCTTGTCAATCTCTGGATGATTGCCTCCCCCATGCCGTTCAGGTCGTTTAACCATACTTCACCACGCTGGTCAGTGCAGGTTGGTGACAGCGGTGAGCATCAACGTGGGAGCAGGAATTGGTGAATGGGGTTGTGCCCAGGACCAGTTCTGATATCACTCACCACTGACCTTAGCCGTGGCCGGGAATTGAATTCGGGTCGCTGATTTCACGATGCACCTCACCAACCATTGCGCCATTCCACTCTATCACGCAAGCATCATCCACGAATTTGACGCAATTTAGCAAACGTTCACGTCGCAACCTTCTATAGCAAAAAAATCTATAAAATCGGCACGCGAAATGAGAAGCCAAATGTGCATGTGGGGGCACGTTTGTGAACTTTGCGCGCTGCGAATCTCGGCCACGACAATGACAATCAGTGGTCGGTGCACCCGCCAACGTGGTGACGCGAGATCAGGAAACCCCCTACGGTCAACCAAGGCGTGGCAAGGGCTTCGATTAAAAAAAAAGCCACGAGAGTGACAAAGGCATGCACATTATTACTCGTCAAACGATGTGCACGTGTTCGTAACGTTAAAACACGCGGAGCACCCGTCACCACGAGCAGGCAGCATTTCCACCCCCCCACCCCCCCCCCCTCCCACATGCTCACATCGAAATGCGTTGCTCTGCACTTCTACACGAAGTCATCATCGCTCGCTCCACGCGCACTCATTTCAATCTACTTGACATGTGGCCGCATCTGCGACACTAAAGATAATGCTGCTGCTGCTACCTGCTGCACATATTTGAGTCTCTGCTCTTCCTCCTTCCCCTTTAAGGTCCCTGGGCCTTTGTGGTTAAGCTCTGTCTGCCTTTTTAGGCTCTGCGCCTTTCCTCTTAAGGCCCCGCCCCTTATTAGCTAGGCCCCGCCTTCTGATCGATTAAGCCCCGCCCCTTCGTATTTAGACCACGCCTCTTCATAGTGAGGTCCCGATCAACTTCCTATTTCGGTCCCGCCCCTTCATATTTCGGCCCCGCCCCTTATCATTTAGCCCCCCCCCCCCCCCCATTGTTTTCCGATTAGGGTTGGGATGGGTATTCTTTGGGTCTTTCGGTAAAGTCACGTAGATAGGTTCAAATAAAATAACAAATAAAATTGGGGCGGGTGTTGAAGGAAGTGGCGGAGGAGCAGCGGTCGTAGTCAGGGTGGGTGGTGTCGAGGGGGGCTAGGGGGTGGGGGCAGTCTCGCACGACGGCAACCAAACGCACCCTTTGAGCAGCAATATAAATAATGGACGTCGCGGTCCAGAAAGCCCAATTATACAATCCAAAAATGATCAATCTTTTTAAACCTCGATGAACTCGAGGATGCTGCCGTAGTGCAAAAGGTGATCACAATGGGCCTGCAATCCAGCGATCACCGGCGCGGTTCGATTCGTTCTCCCGGTGCGGTGGTTGTGAAGGTGATCCCCTGTCTGCCTACTGTTCACCCAGAAGCATACAATGGGTAGACCAGGCGTGTGTTCAAGTGGAGTGTGGGGAATCGGCGAAAATATTCCCTCTTGGGTGGGGGGATTTCGTGAGCGAGCAATTGTAGGGCTGCACCTTTGACTTACCATCCGCGCATCGATGCTGCATTTTTTTTTTGCAAGCGTTGCAGAGGCACACTTGGCGATGTTTTTTTAAAAAATATATATATATTTATTAAAGACGTTCTACCACGTGCTTCCTCCTCGCCGGTTGCGCCATAAATTAAGCAGTGTCGTTTTACTGCTTCGATGCATGCGCGCGCACGCACACACGGCAACACCGTAAAGACGCACGCCGACCGATCCGCAGTGCTTGCTTCTCACGAGGTAAGCGCGCTGGCACCACGCGGTGGGGTGGGGGGAGGATTTTATTCGCTTCTCGTGGTGGAGGAGGCACCACTTTGGAGAGTTTTGAAGCCGTTACTCGTTTGGAGCCTCTGTTGCAATCGCACCTCGCAATCGCTTCCTTCTCCTCGACGCGCCGAGCTATTTCACGTCCGACAGTCGACGTTCTCGAAGCAGCCTCCAGCCTCCTGATTGTTTCCAACGGCGGGCTATCAACGATTCCGGTTCTTTACAAGACCAGCATAATAATATTATACAGGCCTTCATCAATCAACCTATGGATGAAGGTGACCTTACATTGTGAAGGTCGTGCGAACTGTTTGACAATACTTCATCACACTGGTTAGTCCGGGTTGGTGAAGTGGGTGGTGGGTTGCGTGGGAGAGCGAACCATGATTTACGCAGAATTCACTCAACATTGATCTGTGCCGTGGCCGGTAATTGAACTCGGCTTGTGCCAGGTTCAGGGTGCAGTGCGGGAACCACATCACAGAAAATACCTGCGTATACAGACTAGCGTGCGTAAAAGTTGGCCTATTACGCATGTGTCCAACTGCTACAACTATCCACGTATGTATGCAGAACCTAATTTGCTAATCGGCGGTGCGGGGGGTTGTACAAACTAAACACAAGAAGCAGTTTTTAAAAAAAATGAGTTTATCAATTCGAGATGATTTAAAAGTGCATTGCTCCAGTGGATTCCTAATATGTGAAAGAAGAGCGTTCCAGACGGCTGCAGAAGCGCAAAAAACGGCCGTTGACTCTGCCGTTCGGAGTAATGCGTCCTCAAAAAAAATATACCGACGCCCAGTTTTGTTGTAAATTCGAGGCGGCGTCGTGGTGTTCGTCCTTCCGCTCTCTGAAACAAAATGCGCGCTCGGCGAAGTCCCTGCGGCGCGCCTGGTGACCACGCGCCTCGTAACGACGCGCGTGCACGCGCACATAGACCCGGGCTGGCATTAAAAGGGACTCCGACGCTCGCCAATCTGTTCGGATTTGCACGCAATAGATCTTACCCCCCCGCCGCCGCCCCACGCCCCACAACAATTTGGACAACAATTTATTTGCATTTTTTTTGTAACAGTTCCTCGTTCGCCATGGTTAGATAAAGCGGTGTTTGCGTCGATTGAGGAACCTCTAAAACACACAGTAGCGCACGATCCGACGGCTTCAGCGCCGAGTCAGCAGCTGCGTAGGTTTAATATAATTAGGGTGCAGTGGAACTCCGGTTATCTGCGCCCAAGCGGAGGACGAGCTATTCCAGATCCTATCGGCAAGTTTACCAATGATTAAGTCTCTATACGACGACAAAATCCCATCATCCCGCTTTGGTTCGGTTAAATTCAACGCCGTACGTTCAAGAGGGGGTTGCCAGTCCCGTATATATGGCGTGACCACAGCAACATCGAGTTTGAATGCACACGTGTCATTGCTTATGTTTCCTGTGTATGTGTCGATTGACACCCGCTTGAAGAAAAAAATAACTCTGACGAACGATCATCTCAAGGGTGTCTCCGTAGAATATGCTTGAGTGGGGAAAAAAATTTCAACAAATAAATAAACTCGGGGGAAAAAAGACGATGGGAGAGAATTCTACGGTGGGACAGTGCGAGGGAAGAAGCAGAGAGCGAGAGAGATCTTCTTTGGTTCTTTCGGTAAAGTCACGTAGAATGAGAATAAAATAATCAAATGAAACAATAAAATTATCACGACGTTTCGGCCACAACACAAGCGGCCTTCTTCAGGTGAAGGAACAAAAAACTGTCGGGACGACAAACACTGTCGGGACAGAGCTCCAATGAGCTCTGTCGTCCCGACAATTTTTTGCTCCTTCACCTGAAGAAGGCCGCTTGTGTTGTGGCCGAAACGTCGTGAGAATTTTATTGTTTTATTTGATTATTTTATTCTCATTCTACGTGACTTTACCGAAATAACCAAAGACGATGAATCCTTGCAGTCACGAAAGCTTTAAATCGAAAGAGAGAGAGAGATGTCTCTACGAGACCCTTGTGGTCAGTAGGAAAATTACGAATAAAATTTAGACTTAAAACTTTCGTGACTGCAGGAATTTATATTCTTTTGTTATTTCGGTAAAGTCACGTCAATATAAACAATTTTTATTAAAATAATTAAGTGAATAAAAATAATAAAATATCAATGGTTATTAATAACATTGCTACAGTCTACATTACAGACTGCCAGTACACTCACTCCGATTTAGAACCAGGCCACAGTCTACATTAGTGTTTATTCTATTTTATTATTTTTAGTCACTTTTTTCTTTTTATTATTCTTTTTATCTATGTGACTTTACCAAAAGACCCAAAGAAAATGATGAATTAGTCGAAACAGGCTATATACCCTTTCTGGCAGTGAAACAGGTGTTACGATTGTTCAAACACCAAAAGGTGCAGCAGAGCATGTTTGTGCGCGAGTTTTGTCGGAACTTCGTTCGATTCTCAGTCTGCTTGTCTTGATGAGGTTTGCGGGAGGCAGCGTGTTGAGTCGTGGTGGTCCACACCTCCCTTAGCTCTGGCGACAGACTCTAGCACTACTACGCTATAAAGATCCCCCGTATAGCCTTATCAGGCTGTAGGGCCAAGTGCTGTTAGCGAGCACCTATGAAGGCCGGGACGCTACACGAGAGGGTGGGTGGCCAGCACCACGCCCGACCGCCTTTGTCTCCCCAGAGGCGATGTGTACACACCGCACCAGGTACTCATTTGAGGCTGAGTCGACCTAGGGGAGGCCCATGACCGTTTCAGATAATTGTCACTGGTGTTGGCCATGAGCGGGAAACGAACCCTGGTCGCTGGGTTCATAGCGCAGCGCGTTAACCACGACACTACCGCTCCCCACACTACACGAAACACTACACACTACTATACACTACACTATACACTACACTATACACGGACTCTAGCTCTTCCTGGGGAACCCCAGGCGTTCCCAGGCCAGTTGAGCGACAGTCCTGCCAGCGTGTTCTGGGCCGGCCCCGGGGGTCTTCGCCCACAAGCATGTGTGTGTGCTTACTTCAGACTTAATGTCTTGCAACAAGTATCTAAAATTAGTGCTTTAACATCTTAACACTTGGTTTCATTGCCAGGAAGGGTAAAGCCTTTTTTTTTTACAACAGAGAGAGGGGGGGGGGGGGGTGACATGCAGCGTTGGTTGGCTGAGCACAGTGGTGGAGGAGACGAAACGATCACTCTGGTCGAGCGAGTCGCGAACACGCGAAGGTGAAAATCAATTATTCGAACGATTGCCACGGCTACTAATGCCATCATTAGCGCGGCAGCATTAGTAACCTTGGCAGATAATGGCTCCAACACCACGGGTTGCATCTCTCGCCAAGCAGGGGTGGGGTGGGACCTCTCCGTGTCGTGCCCTCTGTTCTCTCTGTGGGGGTGGTGGGGATGGGTGGGCAACGTCCCACGAGCAACGGGACCGCTACTAGAGCCACCAACCACTACCACCGCCCTTCCTCCAAATCCCGAGCCCGGTGGGGGGGGGGGTGTTAAACATCGCCGATCCTCCAGCTTCATTTCAGCCGCCACTCGGCCACCCATGCACGAGACTCCCACGGCGCACGAGAAGGAACACGGCACGTGGCTCGCAAAACGGTTCGGCGCTTCTCCGTCACCGCGGGGATCTCAGCAGCACAGAGGTGACCACAGTAATACCCCTTCTCCCCCCCCCCCCCCCCGGTTTACGTCGGGGGGATTCGACGAATATCTAAAACGATGTAAAATCGAAGCGATTTACGGGGTAGTTGGTGTGGGTGGTGGAGGCGAAGGTTTAGAGGCGACCGGTATCGAGAGAGCTCGGACGACGCTGTCAGCGACGTAAGTGTGGGGTGTGGGGTGTGGGGGGGGCACGGTTGAGGCGACGCAAATCAGGTCGTGATAATATTAATACCAACGGGACGACGTTTTTGCGAAACGACGTAGACATATCGGGGGTAATATCGGGAACGTGTCGTTCAATATTTCAGCGCGCTCAGTCGCTTCTGTCGGTGGCAAGGGGAGGGGGGGGTCCCTGTTTGTACTCGGGTCGACACGCGCTTCGCTGTTGTTATTTTTGTCGTAGTCATCGTGTTGGTGTTGTTGTTGTTATTAGATTATGCCAAGGTTAATAATGTGCGGCCCCCGCCAGGGAGACATCTGAACGTCATCTGAACGTCCTGTTCGGCCGTCGGTACAGTCACTCAAAGAAAAACGATCACCCCTGCACTCTCCACCACCGCTGTGCACGTGGAGCATTTTTCTTAACAAAGGTTAAAGCGCAGCCCGACAAATGCTCACACCATTGTCAGTGGAAGGGCCTCCACCAGACTAAGGTTTATAGAACCCCCCCCCTCCCCCCTCAAAATTGTATTTTGGCCTACTCTTCCACGGTGGCTAGACGTCTTAGAATTGGCAGAAGTGCCCACACCTTTACCCCATCACCACACGACCAACTGACGGGGGAGCGAGGAGCTAGGAAACATTCAGCCGTGAGCCGTTTCGCAAGAATGAAAGACGCGGAGGACCTTGGTGAAAAAGGCGGAAGTTGCAACAGCGAATATATTAGAACGTCGCAGGCACTTCGAAGCAACAACCTTGTGAGGAAAACAACATTCAGGGCCACGCACCATTCAAGAAACAGTGGCAGCAGCAAGACAAATATCCCCCCCCCCCCCCCCGTGTAGCCTTGACAGACTGTTGGGGCACGTTCTGTAAGCGAGCACCTATGAAGGCCTGCACAGCACACTAGGGGGTGGGTGGCCAACACCACGCCCGGCCACCTTTGTCTCCCCAGTGGAGATGTTTACACGCCGCACCAGTAACTCACTTGAGGCCGAGTCGATCTAGGGGAGGAGGCCCAGGACCGGTTCAGATAATCGTCACCGGTGTTGGCCGTGAGCTGGTTTCGAACTCGGGTCACCGGGTCCATAGCGCAGCGCGCTAACTGCTGCACCACCGCAAACCCACGCAGGCAGCAGCTAACACACGAACACAGCCATCATCACGCGCGGGGGTTGGCTAACCACGCGTGCAAGAGACGAAAAATCGTACGTTTATTAAAAAAAGAGGAATTAGCAAGGGCCACGGAGAGGGGGAGCAGAGATTTAATACGAAACCACGAAAAAGAGCTTGTTCCAAAAGGCAGAGGAGGGGATGGCAACGCCAGATGTCTGCATTAACCACACGTACGTGTGGTGAAAATGCAAACAAACATGCTCTGATATAATATAATATGGCATTATCTTTGAAACTGATCTACCTACACCAGAGACAGCCTTCTTTCGGGTCCAGTCTCACCAGTGTCAGACCAGAGAACGCCAAACGGCGAACAGGACAAGGACAATGCCACCATCAGAGCATTTCTCGCTCGGGGTGAGCGGCTACAAAAATGGGACCTTTTGGCAAAAAGGTGCAAGACACGGCCAGAATTTTTAATAAGGTAAATAATCGAGACGCACATTAAGCATGGGCACGCAAGTACAACTGCAGTACTTTGTGTCATCAAACCTATGTATTTATAATTGAGAAACAAAGGGGGTGTAAGTCTGCAATAAAGTTTTAAGAACCACTGCTGTAGGGGGAACCAACGTTTTTAGGTCAGTCTCCTAGGCCACGGTTTCAACAACTGCCACGCCAGAAGATCAATCATTTCTGGGTATTTCTGCACATGTACCAGTGACGTAACGACATTTTCACATCTCACGGTGGTTGTCAAGCGGACCCCAACTCGTAGCTGTGGCCACCGGGGGAGGGGGTGTGGGGGCAAGGCACCCCCAGCGCCCACGCTATAGTTACGCAACTGATATGTTTACACACGCACACATTCTATTAGTCCTCCGGCCTCTCGAGCTCTCACGCGGAGGGCATCATTCTCATGAGTTACGCGAATCGTGGAAGACTTTCCAGAATCGGCAACATTCCGATCTTTGGCAATTGCGTCACGGGGAAGAGGCGTCGGTTGGCGCAATGGGCAAGTTGCACCAAGAACTGCCTCGGGAACAGCAACTTCCCTCCCTCGTTGTTCTTGCACCAGAACCAAAACAAAGACCCCCCACCCCCCGTATAGCCTTCATCAGTCTGTCGGGGCAAGTGCTGTTAGGGAGCACCTATGAAGGCCCGCGTGGCATACGAGAGGGTGGGTAGCCAGCACCACGCCCGGTCGCCTTTGGTCTCCCTAGGTGGCGATGTTTACTACACACGGCACCAGGTATTTATTTGAGACCCGAGTCGGCCTAGCGGAGGCCCTGGACAGGTTCAGATAATCGTCACCCGGGTGGTGTTGGCCGCGAGCGGCGATCAAACTCGGGTTGCCGGATTCGTAGCGCAGGGCGCGAGGCGCTGCGCTGCCGCTCGCCACCACAGCGCCCTGGCACCGGTTGGAGGTAGGGCCAGATTGGGACATCGATGGGACCCTCAGCTATGTGTCACGCTTAACAGGCCCCATTGAGATCAGACAACTTGCAACGCTCACAATTCCTCCCCCCCCCATCCCCCAAAACGGACACAAGTTCAAACGCGACTCGCGGGACACAGTGCCCAGCTCAGAGGAACTTAAGCCAAGCTTCCAAACAAATTGGGGCCAGAATGTTCGTAACGTGGTCTCGGTGTGATGTTGCTTACAATGGTTCTTAAAAAAAACAAGCTTTAAAATCTCAAACGCTACACTCCTCCTTTCATTGCGGTTTGGTTAACGTCAATGGGTTTACATCCCCTACGTAGATATCAGGATTCTTGGATAAAGGAACGCAATAAATAAATAAATGCATACAATCTGCCTCCTTCCCTTATCTGTCCATCCACGTAAACATACACTTGTGTTTGTCTAATTGGTGGGGGCTGGTGCCCCCCTCCCCGTCCACGCGCGGGGGGTGCGATGTTTGCCTCCCCCACCCCCATCCCCTCCGCGTTTTTGTCTTTCGGGGCCCCCCGCGCCCCCGAATGGGTGACCGCCCCCCCCCCCGTACCAGGATCACCTCGGACCGACATAGCTAGCGGCTTGCCGAGCCCGCCGAGGGCTTGAGTACGCGCGTGCCTTCCCCCACTCGCGCGTCCTGAACGCGTGGATTACGTAAGTGTTTGGCTCGCAGCTGTGTGGGGATAGTTAATCATCTCCCCTAAGCCGTTGTGTCAACAAGCCAACGGCGCTCGGAATCAATTAATTAATCTCTGCGCGCTACGCTCGCCGCGCGGTCAAGCGTCTCTCTACTTAATTATTTATCTATGTGTGCGCGCGCTTCGTGCTTATACTGATTAACGTCACCCACACGCCGTCGTACGCCGATCGCTGTCCCACCGCTCTTCACACGCACACAGGCACCACGAGTCACAACGTCAGTCCGTGCTAAGATTTATTTCCCGGAGCGAATAGGGACCCCCGTGTATGGCCCCCCTCCAGCCAGCACCCTTCCTCCTCTCACCTACCCGTCGCAGAGTGCATCTATCACCTAAGCTCGAGCTGACTGAATTGGCCTCCCTTTTCCGTATCCACTCACCTCTGCAGCTACCCGATGGGGCTGGGGAAGATGCTCGCCTTGGGGACTTTTTCAGCTTCACCCTGCAGGCGTCGCACGGACGCTGAGGACGGCTGGCTTCTCCCGCCGCTCCAGAAGGACTCTGACCCCAATTCTCCCTCCTGCCCCCCCTTATGTTTCCAAAGCCCGTTAATCCCCGGGTCATATGACGTCATCCTGAGCATCCAATCGAATCCTCTTTCCGGCCGTTTTGAGCGCTCTGGCCGTTGGGAGGGTGGGGTCGCGTCATCCCCCCTTCCCATTGTCCCTGTGCCTACGTTCCTCGCTGGTGACTCATCGATAATCCCCTCGCCCCCTCCCACTTAAGTCAACTCTTATCGGCCTGGGGGCTTTTCCCTCCCACCCCACTGTTTACCTTGCCGCTGGGTACTGGCTGAAGTTCCCATCCCCCCCCCCGTGTTGTGTATGCTTCATCGTGACCGGCCTGTAAAGCTCTATGCCCCCTTTTTGGGGGGGCCGCCATGTAATCCGGTCTGGGGGGCTCAGCCAATTTCCTGATCCGGGGAAACCGTGGAACGTCCCTGCTAGTGGGGTCCTCGAGTGAAAACCCATAGTACCACGTGATCCCTCCTCGAGACCCTACGGGGGTGCATGTGAGTGTTTAGTGGGGCGTGCGTGCGTTCGTGGGGGGGGGGGTGCGAGGAGCGGGTAGTGCCGGCCGAGCTGCTCCGCTGCGGTGGCACCACACAAACTGGGCAGCATACAACAGCCTCCGAAAAAACAAAAATCACATAAACCAAGCCAAGCGTAACAACAACAACAAAAAACACATTCGAAGAGTAAATAATATGCAAGAACATTTTTTTTGTCGATAATGTATTGTTACGGGAGGATCGGGAGCCAGAGGTCAGGGCCCACGCGAGGGAATCCTCCAGACCACCCTTTCCCTCCACTCACGAGTCAATTATTTTAACACATTCCTGCGGAGGGAGCTGGTAGGAACGAACGTTGGGGGAAAATGTCGTGAAAATGGCCGGACGTGGTTTGTGGCCACCCACCCCCTCGTGTGTGCCATGGCCGCCTTCCCCACCCAGCCCCTCCCTCCCCACCCAGCCCCTCCCCACCCTCCCCTCTCCACCCAGCCCCACCCCTCCCATTTTTGGATGCACGACGGGCTGGAGGAACCAGGAGGTTCCTACCAGTAAAACCACGACGTGTTGGGGGGGGGGGGTGGTACGTGCCTCTCCAATGATCCGATCGAAATCCCTACGTTCGATTGGATCATTGGGGTTTGTTAGTAATAAATTGGCATTTTGCGACCCCCACTGCCACTGTGTAGCAGGGACGTGCAGTCAGGGAGGCAGGGGAGGCAGAGCCTCACCTGTCATACTCCAATGAAAATAGCTGTTACGAAAAGTAAAAAAAAAGAATAATCAAATGAAATAAATATTTAGATTTTTCCACTGATCTGTGTTATAAATGTCATTTCTGTACGATTACAATCATTTTTATGGTCAAAATCTCCAAATTTGCGGAGCTCCGCTGCAAATACAGGAAGAGACGAGAGGTGAGGCAGCGACGAGCTCAGCCTCCCCTCTGATTGCGCAACCTTTCAGTAACTGGATGGAGCGCGGGCGATAAGCGCGTGCCTGTTACTATCTCAGTATGCCACCAATGTAATGTTTGTAGACCCCTTCATTTCATGTCCTCGCCTTCCATACTCCAGGTAACTTATTTCACATATGTGTATAGAGATATTTGGCTCGCTGGTCTCGTCATGAAACTGCAATGAAAAAGCACCAGAGGGGGCAGCTATCACAACTGCCTCACTGAGGACGTGTCTAACACGCCCCCCTCAGTGAGGCCACGCCCCCTCCGTGAGGCCACGCCCCCCTCAGTGTGCGACTCTGGCTCTGACACTAGCCAGTGCCTCCCCAGCCATTGACCTCACCGCACATCACTATGTAGCATATTATTACGTGCCAGGGCCTCTATGAGATAATAGGACAATAGTCCGAGTGGCAATAAGTAACGGCAAAGCAGTTATAAGTGACTCACAGAATTGTGCGCAGTTGCGTATACGGTACACGGCTTCCCTGAAGGCATTCACCTTCAGCGAGCGCGATGCCGATCACACAACGCGGTTCGAATTCGACCCTCGATCGATGGCTGCGCCATCGCCGCACATGCGTCGAATAAAAAGCAAGGGACAAGTCCTTACTTACTAACAACTCCTATCATTTTTCATTGCTGGAGCGGTTGCCCCCACGATCTGAAAATCCTGGCTCCGCCATTGTGTTGGGTGAGGTGCGAGGGTTAGAACCGCGCTTCGAGATTCGGTGCCGAGACAGGTTGGTGGTGGTCCGAGTTCACTTTTAATAGTGCTCACAACCTCCGCCCCTCCCCTGGCTAGTCTGGACTAGCAAGAACCCGTGCAACTTGCGCAAGGAATAGACCGCTACTTATCAGCAAACTCCTACAATTTCACACGAAAAAAGACAAAGCAGAGAGAGACACACATAGTCTCTCTCTCTCTGCTTGTGTGTCTGTTTGTATGTTTCCGTATCTATGTTTTGTCTCTCTCTCAAATTTAGCAATCTTTGGAAGAACGTAATCAACCAGGTGGGGTGTTCATTGTTGTGTTGGTCGACTTTCTGTGTTGTATTGCATTATATTTCCAAGTTTACTATGTCTGTTTTCTCATTCGTTTGTACCTGATGATGGTTGCTTGTGTTGCAATCGAAACGTCGTCTTCTATTATTATTTTATTTTATTTATTTCGACGTGACTTTACCGAAAGAACCAAAGAGTAATCCCAAAGCTTATCTGCTGGTCGTTGTCCCCTGGTTGGCCATAGCGCGACGGCGTTCCAGTTGCTGCGCCCTCTGTCCCAGTGATTCCTCCTCCCTGAGCGGACATGTCTCCCGCGCATGCCTCCCCTGGCTATTCACCGCTCCCAGGCCATTAATTGATAAGACCCATCACCTGTGAGGTTCAATCACCCCACACCTGTGGAGACTGTGATTAGCTCTCTGCATGCAGAACCAATCCGACCAAATTATCCAGCCACTGCATGTCCAATAAACTTACTATTGGGGAAACTCGCGTGCAAAACTGGGTTTTTTTCCTAATTCCGAAGCACAGAGCCACTCTGCAACCATTCCATTGCCGCACGCACATAGATTGTTTCCCACAGCTGTGGGAAAGCGTTTATTAAGCCCATGACATGTATAATGTATCCTTACTACAACAAGGTACATCATATGGTGCGGGGGTTGGATAGACAATTCAGAAAGTCGAAATCGACAATGACCCGTTACGCCAATACCAATGAGGTGAATACAAATGTTATTTTCTTGTATTGTTTACTGGGATTTAAACAATGCCAGTGAATCTATCCGTTGCACTCCCACTGCATAATCATGCAGTGGGGGAAATTATGCAGTGGGAGTGCATTCCAGACCTTGGGAGACGCAAATATGAGCGCTCGTCCACCCACACCCTCTGGCATTTTACTTTGGGTGAAGTGAGCCACTCTAGGGCAAGACGGATTGAGGAAAGGGCTCGGCAGGGAGCGGTCATCGGGAGCAATGAGAGGCGAAAGAGAGGCGGCGGATCAGTCCGTGCGGAATTTGTAAACAGAGGGCGCGATCTTAAACGAGGTTTAAGATTTGAATGGGAAGCCAATGAATGTGACATAGAGTCTCGAGCAGTGATTCTTAACCTTTACTGCAATCTTGTACCCCTTTGGTTCTCAATTGTAAAAAAAGTATAATGTCAATAAATACAGAGTGTTTACAAATAATGGACCCGAATTGAAATCGATATATCTCTGCAACCACAAACCGCCCATGAATGAAACTCTTACCACTTGAAAGGGCGGGGGATAGCGTTTCAAAAGATCTCCACTAGATGCCTCAGTCATTCGCAAGATGGCGACCCCGCAACACAAAGCGTTTCGCGTTCTGCAGTTCAGCAAGACTGAATCCATAATTGCGGTGCAGCGTGCGTTTCAACGGCGTTTTGGTATTGATCCGCCAATGTCAAAGAGCATTCGTCGTTGGTACCGATAATTTGAGGAAACGTGGCTGTTGATGTAAGGGGAAGGGCACAGGGCGACCACGCACCTCAGAGTAAAACGTGAGAAGAGAGGCGTTTGGGACAAATTCAACTATCGTCTCTCGATGTTGTCCGTACAACAGGTGGAGGGCACATAGAGCATTTATAAAATAGTTAGTAAAACTTGATAACTCATTAAACCGTTTGTAACTTTTTGTGTAATTGTAACATGTTGCCATCGTGAAATATACTGCTTTGAAATTGGGTCCATTTTTATCAAACACCCTGTGCATTGGGTTTTATGAAACAAAGTAGTTTTACTTACATGCCAGTGCTTAATTTGTGTTTCGATGATTTACCTTCTAAAACAAATCTGGCCACGTCTCGCTACCCCCCAGAAAGGGCAATCTCGCACCGCCAGGTTGGTGCGTGGTACACCCCAGGTTAAGAACCACTTGCGGTATTCCATTCTATTTCGGATTTATCTAGCGCCCTTTCCCGGGCGGTTTACTCCGCAAGCCAATGGCGTTACACAAAAGGGCAGAAGGGGAGCAACGGGTGGGATGGAGCGGCTGTCAGTGAGGGAGGTGACGTAAGGGATGGAAGGGCTGGGAGTGGAGCCCTGTGATGTTGCACGGGTTGGGAAGGAGGAATAGGGTCGAGTGTGATGGTGAACGAGCGTGACAGATGTGTGCCACGTGGATGAGAGTCACGCTACACCTCTGTACAGCCCATCGATAACCCATCACCGCATTTTTTGTTCAGCTCTATAACTGGTAGAGAAGCGCAGGCATCGTGACGATGAACTCCAGCGCAGCTCGCAATGGGACCGGTCCCTGCTCAATGGACGACTCCTACAAGTACCCCATCTACTCGGCCGTCTATGGCATCGTCTGCATCATCGGGATGATGGGCAACACCATCGCGCTCTACGTCTTCCTGTGCCTCACGCGAACCAAGAGTGCCAGCACCATCTACCTCATCAACCTGGCCCTCGCCGACATGTTCTTCGTGCTGACGCTGCCGCTGCGCGTCGTCTACTATGTGCGCGACGGCGACTGGCCGTTCGGGGACGCGATGTGCCGCATCAGCTCATTCGCCTTCTACGCCAACCTGTACAGCAGCATCTTCTTCCTCACCGGCCTCAGCGTGACTCGCTACCTGGCCGTGGTTCACCCCGTGCGCTCGCTCAAGGCCATCACGGCGGGGCGCGCGGTCATCGCCTGCGTGTCCATTTGGGTCTTCGTGACCCTGGTCACCTCCCCGTTCCTTCTCAGCGGCCAGCACGTCTTATCAAGCGGGAGGACCCTGTGCTTCGAGAGCTCGGGCAGCAGCCTGAAAATGATTTTTGCCATGAACTACGTCGCCCTGGTGGTCGGAGTCCTCATCCCGTTCGCGATCATCGTCGTCTGCTACGCGGCCATCGCCCGGACGCTGATGAAGACCCCGGAAGGCCAGCGCAGGGACTCGAACGTGCGGAAGCGCGCGGTGCGCATGATCGTGCTGGTGCTCACGGTGTTCGTGGTCTGCTTCATCCCGTACCACGTGCAGCGCACGCTGCTGCTGCACCACCTGGTCAGCCGCCACAGCAGCTGCGACACGAAGCTCTACCTGCAGAAGTCGGTGGTGGCCACCGTCTGCTTCACCGCCTTCAACAGCTGCCTCGACCCGCTCATCTACTTCTTCGTCGGCGAGAAGTTCCGCCAGAGGGTTACGGATGCCATCAATAGGTAAGTACTTGCTTGGTACTCAGGCCCGGCTCCAGCTCCTCTCGGATATCAGGGGCCAGTAGATTTGCTTTGTCTAGGGGTGTAGGTTGGGGGGCACCGTAATGTCGATTCACTGCGAAGCGATCTTGGGTGGAGCCTAAGGGACATTTGGTGGGGAAGTGCCCAGTGCTGGATTAAGCTAGTGCGGGGCCTGTTGCCCTAAATAAAAATAAAAACACATTAAATATTAAAACATATACATTTATAACTTGCGTAGTAAAGTAGTTGTATTTTAGTTTCATTTGATATACAGCAAGATAAAACAACAAATCGCTGACCTTAAACACCCAGTCGTTCATAAAAGTTGAAGGCAGTATAGTACTATAGTAATAGAGCAAGTGCAGAATCACTGAACCGGAATTGACATGTTGAAAGCGTTTAGCGCGGGGCCCTTGAAAGTGCGGGGCCCGTAGCATATGTAGCTACTTTTACTACTAGGATAATCCGGCACTGAAGGGCCCCCCGCACCGCCCCGCGAACACCCTCCTAGCGTCAGCCCCGTGAGTACTTCGATCATCAAGTCACACTAACACATTGGGCAATCCAAAGCCTCCACCTGTCATGGCCTCGTGCCATCATCACTTCGGAGCTCTTCCGCATGAGGCACCTGCAGTCCCTACGTATATTTGCATTGGTTCCAGCCTCGTCAGCACTGCTTTTCATTTGCCATTTTACCGGGACCCACGTAAAAGCCCCTCGTGGAGCAGTGGATTGACTGACGGGAAGGCCTGCTGCGCCCCTTCTCTCCAACGCCGTGACCGATGTGATCACTTTTGGGGCTCTTGAACTAAACTTGTCCAGAATCCCCAGGATTTCGGTGAAATTGCCGAAAGCTCAGTGAGCCGAACTAAGACACGATAGCAATATAAATATACCATCGCAATAGACGAGATCCTCCTGGAGTTGGCGTGTCTCTCTCCCCGTGGTCGCGTGGATTTTTCTCCACGTTTTGAATCAACATAATGCGTTGAGAGTATTTAGCCGCTATACATTTCCACGTGATAAGCCATTTCATTGAGATCCTTTGTGGTCGCTTATGAAAAAGAGCTCTATTGCTCAGTGGGGCCTTACCTGGTAAAAATTAAAACATATTGTTCAGGTTGTAGTGCGTGTTGTTCGCCACGACATCCAACATTTTGGTCCATGGGCTGGCAGATTCTTCAGGAACTAAAATCGTCGGGCTTCACAACCAAATAAAAATAAAACATCGGAGAGAAGAATAGACGATTAAAAGTTCACATTGAGTGCTCCGCAATTATAAAGACTGCCGCTGAGCACGAAGAATGGAAGCTGGCAGGCAACACATTTTAAGTTCAGCGCCTTCAACCTGCGGTTTTGTGGATGTGGTTCGCGGAGCACGGTTACCAGTCGGATGAATATCACGTTGACCACATGCTCTCTAGTGCTGGAGCTGTGTCACCGTGACACTGACCATGGTCAGATCTTTGATGCAGCACATCCGGCGCTAGCTTCGTGGAATTTTTTTTTATTGAAAAACAAAATATTCTGCACAGACCACGAACTTCAATCGCCCAATAAGGGACATTCGATGCGTGGCGTGAAATACGGGCAGCAGGCAGCAAGAAAGCGATGCGGGAAATGCGGCCGCTGGCTAAAGAGTGGAAGTTAAATGTGGCCTATGAGCAACAATAAATTACGTCTGATAAGATATTTCTGATGTTCAGCAAATTTTAATCTCGCGTCTATTCTTCAGGATCGTCATAATTCTATTCCTTTAAACATGCTTTGCAGGGGTATGCCTATCCAACTCGCTCTCTCGGAAAGTACCCGGCCTTGTCAGAGCCCAGAAGCTAAGCAGCCTTGAGCCTGGATAGCGCTTGAATGGGCGACCACTTAGCCCAATCAGGTGGTGATAGGTTTAATGGCTGCGTGGTGGACAGCATTGGGCATTGCAGCAAAATCAATTGCTGTACTGCACTTCTGTGCTCCCGCGTCTGAACTCCCCGCACTGACCAGCGTGGTGAAACATTTTGCTACTTTGCCAGGTAAGGCCCACTGAGCTATGTAACTCTCTTTCAGAAGCGATCTGGTAATCACAAATGATAGCTTAACGAAGTGGTTTAACATGTGGAAATGTATAGCAGCCAAATACTCTAAACGCACGTTTCTAAATGTGGAGGGAAAAATCGGAGGACCCGGAGAAAAATCCATGCGACCACGGACAGAGAGAGACACACAAACTCAGGGTCAGGATCGAACCCACGACCTCCTGTATACCAGGAGAGGTAGTTAACATCTCGCCACCATAGCGCCCCCAAACAAAAAGAGCCATGGTCAATCCAGAGTGAGCCTCACCAGTGGTGGATTCACAGAACGGACTTCGCATTGGCTCGTACGCAGACATACACATACCACACGTCTCGACTGGCACACTCGAATGCAACGTGTGGTCAATGTTAACAGCGTTACGGGCCTGACAGCCAACCCGCTAAGCATCATGGAGACAAGTACACTGTATGTATGTATGTTGAGCTACTTTCAAAGAACAAATTTGACCTCAGGTTTTCGCTCATTTACCAGCTTCACATTCCCTATTGCCGTACAAAAACTTGAGGAAGGGCCTTTGCTATTGATGCCCCCAGGGTCTGGAATGCTATTGCCAAACTGCAACTTAAATCGCTACCAATGAGATCTTCTCTCAAAACTGCTCTAGAGGAGTTGTACACCCCTAGCTGCCACTGCTATTCATTGGCGTAAAATAAAATAAAATGTTTCGCTCCGGACGACGCTGCAAAGTATTATCTGTATTTTGATTTAGTGTGCTTATCTTAAAGGCGCATTGAAAAATTTGATACTCCGACTGATGCTTCTGTTGTTGTGGCGTAACTCATGCAGCCAGCTATGGCTCTAGGATTTGGTGTTACATGTTATTTATGTAGTTTATTGTAAAAATTCGGTCACAGTCCCTGTGATCACTGTTACGTTGCAATTATGGCTTTATTTTTTGGTGATTTCGAAAAGTGCTTTGGTTTGGACATGTTTGTTTTGTTGTAGTACGGAGTTAGACTGATGGCCTTAATCTAAGTTTTCTTGTGGTTGTTGTTGTTGTTTGACTTGCATTCCACTGGGATTTTTTGCACACAGCGTTGGTGTACGGTGCTTTTTTTCAGGAATAATTTGCTGTTTTTTCATGGATTTTCTGTTTGCACAGTCACATAGTCACTTTAAGATGTTTTTCTTGTTCGTGTTTTTGTTTTTTTGTTTGTTGTGGTTGCACCCGATTCAAGAGCCGAATGGCTCACAGGGCTATACCAAAATAAATAAACTGAAAACTGAAAAAAAAAACGAGCGTAGCCAATCGTGCTAATTGAAGGTGTTGGGGTAGGACAACAAACTAAACACAAACAGCAGTTATAAACACATGCGTTTTAAATCTAGACATCACAGAAGTTGTGTGTGTTTTATACTTGATTGCTCAATCTGTTCATAATAAAGGTTTTTGGGTTAGATCGCGGAATTTATAAATGTGTCGCAACCCTCCACCACCCGACATTGACAATCAGTAAAACATGTGTCAAATAATTCTAGATTTGAAGTTTTCGTGACTGCAATGATCCATACTCTTTAGTTCTTTCGGTAAAGTCACGTAGGTAAAAATAAAATAAATACAAATAAAGTTAAACTTTATTTTTAAACTTTATAAAATAAATACAAATAAAGTTAAACTTTATTTTTTTATTTTTACCTACGTGACTTTACCAAAAGAACCAAAGAGTATGAAAAGACAAATAGTTCACTACTTTAGCCCATCGGTGTGTTGAAGAGTGGATCCACAACATTTACAATTTGAGTAGTACGACGTTTCGCTGGAAATTACATCCAGCGTCTTCGGGCAATTTTCCAGAATAGTGAAGCCATCCACCTGCTTCCGGTCTAAAATAGTGCAGGATGACTTCATCCTTGTTGACCCCCATCAGGATTCGAGATCATAGGCGGAGGTGGGGGTGGGGAGGGTTGTGACACATTTATAAATAACGCGATCTCACCCAAAAACCTTTATTATGAATAATACTGGTCGCGAAAGCCTACGTGTTAAAGTGCTTAATCTGTGTTTTCCATGTCACTTTCCCACCCATCCCCGCCACCATAACCCAACAAACTGTCCTTCCCCCTCCCCGTGTATCCGTCTGTTCCTCCCGAACCCTCCACCATCCATACGCACATGAAAACACACACACGCGCCCACACACGCTCACACACATCACACGCACACACACGCGCTCACACATCAAACACGCCCACACACACGCGCACACACACATCACACACACGCACGCACCTTCCCGCAACCCAGGCGATCCCGACGGAGCTCCTCGAACAGCTCCCTTCGGTCCAGAGATTCCCTGCAGCCCAAGAACTCGGTCAAGTTGCAGATGCAGTCGCTGGACAGATCGGCCGAGGCGACTGGCAACAGTTCTCACGAGGTTGACGAGTGACATATCAGCAAGGGTCTTCCGGGCGGTCTTATATGTCCTTCGCACCCCCCCCCCCCCTCCGTACCTCTGATTAGCACGGTTGGCTACGTACGGTGCGAAAGAAGTTTAACATACATACGTACATACATCGCCAACATTTTCACATATTACTAAGAACCCCCCCCCCCCCGCGCCGCCTCCACCCCGACCCATTACCACGCAATTTTTTGTAGTAAAAAATTCATGGTATTATGGGAGATGCGGCGAATGATGTTGGAATTGTCAGTTGGGGGTGGACTAGGTACTTGGGAATATCGAGGTTACAGTGAGGGAAAAAAGTATTTGATCCCCTGCTGATTTTGTATGTTTGCCCACTGACAAAGAAATTATCAGTTTATAATTTTAATGGTAGGTTTATTTGAACAGTGAGAGACAGAATAACAACAAAAAAATCCAGAAAAACGCATGTCAAAAATGTTACGGCGTAGTGTGTTACCAATTGTTTTCTTGGTGACTATGGTCCCAGCTGCCTTGAGATCATTGACAAGATCCTCCCGTGTAGGTCTGGGCTGATTCCTCACCGTTCTCATGATCATTGCAACTCCACGAGGTGAGATCTTGCATAGAGCCCCAGGCCGACGGAGATTGACAGTTCTTTTGTGTTTCTTGCATTTGCGAATAATCGCACCAACTGTTGTCACCTTCTCACCAAGCTGCTTGGAAATGGTCTTGTAGCCCATTCCAGCCTTGTGTAGGTCTACAATCTTGTCCCTGACATCCTTGGAAAGTTCTTTGGTCTTGGCCATGGTGGAGAGTTTGGAATCTGATTGATTGCTTCTGTGGATAGGTGTCTTTTATACAGGTAACAAGCTGAGATTAGGAGCACTCCCGTTTAGAGTGTGCTCCTAATCTCAGCTCGTTACCTGTATAAAAGACACCTGGGAGCTAGAAATCTTCTGATTGAGAGGGGGTCAACTACTTATTTCCCTCATTAAAATGCAAATCAATTTATAACATTTTTGAAATGCGTTTTCTGGATTTTTGTGTTGTCATTCTGTCTCTCACTGTTCAAATAAACATACCATTAAATTTATAGACTGATCATTTATTTGTCAGTGGGCAAACGTACAAAATCAGCAGGGGATCAAATACTTTTTTCCCTCACTGTAGGTGGTGGGCAGGGAGCGAGGCCACCTCCGATGAGCACGATTGGCTACGTAGGGTGCGAAATAAGTAAAAAATGCACAGGGCAATTTCTGGAGGCCCCTGTGTGCGTGTGTTTTATGTCAGTGTCCAGACTCGCCACGACAGGGCACCCTAACAGCCAAACTGCCCGAATGCGTCCCTTGTTTTGCACCACTTTGCCATGCGGTGCCCCCCCCCACTCCCAACCACCTGATTCATAATTCGTTTAATTCAGTTTGGACCATCGTGTAGTGTATAATGTATTGTGTATCATTTTTTTTCGCTACGCCCTAACCGCCGCCGATTCGATTTGGTTCGTCAGCGAAACTGGAGGAGGAATGTTTATTGCACTGTTTGTTGAACTCCTTTCGCACCGTACGTAGCCACCCGTGGAAGTGCGAATGTTGAAAGTGCGAGCAGAAGTTTGTCACGTTTCACAAGCGACGTTTCGATGGAGATTACAACCAGCATCATCAGTTTGCTGTCATTCCTCCCGCACCTCCAATAAGCACGGTGGGCTACGTACGGTGAGAAAGAAGTTCAACATAGGACATAAATTCAGGCGTTAATAAATGAAAGCTATGCTCTCTTGCACAGAGATCCAACTCCAAAAGAAACCCTTCACGAACTTGTAAACCCCGGTCGTGACAGCCTATGGATACAATTCTCCAACACGTGCTTTAAATGCACGGTGGTGGCCCCATCCAATCACCGTCCAGACACAACCCCAGGCTTAACTTCCGAGATCGGCCGTGTTCCTGGTGATTTGGTGGAGGTCTATAAAACCCACGCACGTCTCTGCTTTCCACCATCACCAACCCGCACTGACCAGCGTGGTGAAGTATGGTCGTACCGTTCTCCAAGACCCCGTTATGGCGATCCTCAAGGTGCTGATAGGGTCCCTTTTTCAATCTATCTCTGATCCGGTCGGTCAAATTATTAAAGCTTTTTTTCAATATCAGTCACCGTTTCTGTGCCGATGACAGCCAACTCACTCTACCACTCTTGACCCACTCGAACCTAGTAAGGGACTCCTCTACTTACGAACAAGTTAGGTTCCAGAGGTCTGTTCGTAAGTCAATTTGTTCATAAGTCCAACTTTACTCCCGTCGATTCCAAACATGTTGTACGACACGTACGCTAAACATGGGGAATAGATTTAAAAGTTGTATAATCTCCTACAGATGTAGATGCCCATTGGTTCTTCATGTTCTGCAGATGTAGATGCCACTGGTTCTTCAGGTTCTCCAGATGTGCCACCACCGCCGTATTTTGTGCGGCGGTTGAACTTACGATTCTCGGTCAGAACAGGCAACTGGACATACGGGCAAGGTTTGTTCGTTTCTCTAAAAGTTCGTAAGTCGAATGTTCGTAAGCAGAGGAGTGCCGGTACTATCGTCTTACTCAGGGGTCATCAAACTACGGCCCGCGGGCCGGATACGGCCCACGACGTCGGTCCATCAGGCCCGCCGACGGTACTTGAATTTGGTTGATAAAACGTATGGAACACGAGAAGTTGTGTTACAATTTAAATAATATGTTTAGAATACTAGGAGATCTTCGCGCGTGTGGAGACCTCCTTACTGCTATGTGCCTTAAATTTACTATTTTAAATTTTAAATGACTGTATCTAGATTTTCTTGTTTATTGTAATGTTTGCTTATTTCGCACCATCCCAAGTCCTTCCCCGGCTCGTGGTAGCTCCGCCTACGCTCTGACGTTACAATGATTTCCATGGCAACGTCATGGCAAAACGTTACCATGGTTTCCATGGCAACGTCATGGCAACACATTACCATGGTTTCCATGGCAACACGTTACCATGGTTTCCATGGCAACGTCATGGCAACACGCCACCATGGTTTCCATGGCAACACACACAAACACGCATCTTTCCTGCCCCCAAGTATTGAACGGGATGATTATGCGGCCGGCGCTCGTCATTCTATCAGTTATCCGGCCCGCTGTGAAAAAAGTTTGGTGACCCCTGGTCTTACTCGATTGTGTACGTCCAGTGTGGGCCACTCAGGGTGTTTGTAAAATAGTGTCTAGACCAGGAGGTCGGCAGACCTGCGGGTCCGGATCCGCATGCGGCTCTCTAAGCACTGCTGCTGTGGCGTTATGTATTAAGGACCAACGTCTTATAGTCACATGCATTGCCGGCTCTTGAAATATTAAGTATATATTTTTTTTACCGATTTCGAAAAAAAGCCTCTTCTTGTTATTTAGGTTTTGCCGATCCCTAGTCTGGACGTTACGTAGGCTCCCCCTTCTGAGGGTATTGTTGCACACGTTCGGCCAGATGGCGTTTTGTTTTTTTGCTTTTACATTTTGTCCACATTTTTTTAAACCCAGCTTTGAACATCGCTTGATGTTTTACTGCGGTGTTTGCTCAACCAACAATGATAGTCGACGTTCCCTCCGCTTTCATTTGATGTAAATAGTCGTTCGATGTTTATAGGGTTAAGACGCCGCTGTATACATTTCTTTATAATCACTGTATTGACATTATGTCACGCAGTGCGCCGCTAATGCTGACTTTAATTACCTAACGTGTTGTACGCTGCATGCATTGTGATATTTGTCAGTAACCCATGATTGGGAAAACCCAACCTTTGTCTATCAATAACCTGTTGTGCTGTATCCAATGATTGATTTCGAGCTCTTCTGTGCCGAAGTTACTCGCGGGGGTTGTGCTGGCTCACGAAGTCTGATTACAGCTTTGGGACTGATTGCTGAGTGTGGACACGGCTGAGGGCCCTTTAGTGGCGCTACACGACATGCACGATGGATTATTTTTAGCAAATAAATGTGCAGATGTTTGTCGTGTGCTGCGTGCGTTATTCCATATCGTGAATGTTGACAAATCGGACACTTGCATTCGACTCAAGAACTGTAAACTATTTTTATGTTTTTTTTACCAGATAAGGTCCACTGAGCTGTATAGATATATTTTTCAGAAGGGACCTGACAATCGTAAATGATAGCTCAACGAAGTGGCTTATCATCGCGTGGAAATTTATAGCGGCAAAATACTCTAAACGCATGTTTCTGAATGTGGAGGGGGAAATCCAGAGTACTCGGAGGGAAATACACACGATCGCAGGGAGAGAGAACATGCAAACTTCAAATATACTGCAGGCGTCAGGGTCGGGATCGAAACCCACGACCAGGCGAGGTAGTTAACATCTCTCCACTATGGCACGGCCAGGCACATTTTCTGGAGACAAGTGCTTTAGAGGTTTTTTTTTTTCCGCGCTATAGATAATGCCTCTCCCTAGTCTAGATACATTCGTGACCAATCGCTGGTTGGTCACCCGGAGAGAACTCACGCGTGCGAGGGGGAAACACTCTATCCCACACGGACGGAACAAGGGGAGTCCATATTTCTTGCTGGACCGCCGTCTGCTGGCGAGCCAGGGTTATGACACCTCGCCGTCAAACGTTAACGTGAAAATGTTCCAGCGTAAATTCTAATCCGTAAGTAAGCAAAAAAAATCGTTTAAATGCAACTTACCAAAGGAAATGAATGTCATTATGAGACCTCCTTTGCCAGTAGCAAGATATAGTAATAGGTTTGTACCCTTTTATCTGGCACCAAAACTGACACCTTTATACAAGGGATCATGTTTGCAATAACCACAACACAAGCAGTCAAAATGCAAACATAAAGAGACAACTCTGATAATGATATGCACTGTCCTTGAAATGGATTGGTCCACACTCGAGACAGCTTTTCTTAGAGCCCAGTCTCCACTGGTGTTGGACCAAATGACGCCAAAAGGCGTACAACTCAAAAACAGCGCACTATCAGAGTATTGAGAGCTCGGGGTAAGCATTTACATTGAGACCTCCTTTGCCAGTATCAAGATATAGTAATAGGTTTTTACCCTTTTATCTGACGCCAAAAGGCATACAACTCAATTTCAAGGACAGTGCATATCATTATCAGAGTTGTCTCTTTTTGTTTGCATTTTGACTGCTTGTGTTGTGGTTATTGCAAACATGATCCCTCGTATAAAGGTGTCAGTTTTGTTGCCAGGTGAAAGGGTAAAAGCCTATTACTACGAAATGAATGTCGTTATTGCGCCAATGGTATCAGCTTCAGTGCTCATAGTGCTTTAAAGTTGCGACAATGCCTTGGCAAGGTAAAGCCGCGTGATCACAGTGTATGTGCCAGGCTAGGTGCACCACTATTCCCAATCCGCGACGGCGTGTCCATGACATGGTGGGTCAGAGGACTAGCCCAGGT